GTAGGGTCATATAGTGAAGTTTAAATAACTACTATGGTAACTCATCCTATGCCTGCATTTAAGTAAGCAAGATGTATCTGCTTAATATATAGCCAGTGGTTCACTCAGTATTTCCAAAGATGGCCACAATCATTTCTTGTTTTCTTCAGCATAAACTGAATGCCATCAGAGCTCATTTCGTACTAATGCCTAGTGATACACTACTTGTAACAAAAATTGTATTTTAAGATGTAGGTTGTATTTTACATTGCAACTGAAAAACATAAACCAAAGTTTTGAACATTTTCTTTACATTGTTGATTCTAACCACTTTATCCACCACAAAAATAAGTGAAAGTTGTAATTTTGAAAAGTAAATGGTAGCATATATACATTGTTCTGCTTAGTTCTCTTATTTTTTCATAGTCAATTAATTTCAGAATCCATGTTCTTCATTCAAAGATTTTAATACATCCGAGATGGCTAAACATCAGAATGCCAGCAATGTTTCATTTTCTTTGGGTATCAAAATAATCTAAATAACCAGCATTTTTCACTTTGTGAATAATTTCCAACAATACCTCTAGGGCAGGGATGTCAAACTCACGTTGTCACGGAGGCGTCACGTGATGTATCGGAACTTCCCCCCCCATCACTAAACCGGGCATGGCCATGGCCAACGTGTGATGCATCCGGCCCGCGGGCTGGGAGTTTGATAGCCATGCTCTAGGGCAGGGGTGGGCAAATGTGGCTCTTTTACAACCTGTGGACTTCAACTCCCAGAATTCCTGAGACAGCCAAGCTGTCTAAGGAATTCTGGGAGTTGAAGTCCACAGGTTGTAAAAGAACCACATTTGCCCACCCTGCTCTAGGCCGTTCACTATCAGTGAGTAGTCAAACTTTTCAGTAAATAATTTTTTTTACAAGGGAAAAAAATCTTTGCTAAATTATCTATCTAGGCACATAAAATAAGATGTAATATAAAACAAGAGATAATATTCATTAAGAAAGGTGAGATTAAGGATGTGAAAGCAAAAAGATGCTTAGGAATATGTGGAAATGTGATGCCTAAAAACAATGTTTTTCAAACTTGGAAAGTTTAAGATGTGAGATTTCAACTCCCAGAAATCAAAATCTAACATGCTGGCTGGTGAAATCTGGGAGTTGAAGTCCATGCATCTTAAACTTACCAAGTTTGAAAAATATTGCCTTAAACTAAACATGTTTACTCCTGAGATCATATGACTGCTTTAAGGAATTATAGGAACGTGATATGTTCACACCTCTGCATGCTCTGAAATCTCTTTTTGTTTCTGAGTACAAAGTGCTGTACATACCATTTTAATATTCAGTTGACAAACTATCTGAAAAAGTTGGAAAAAATAATTTTATTTATTGCATATTATCTTTGAATGCTTTTGTTTCTGAAGAGGAACTGAATTATAAATAAAACATCCGAAAGAAGCCTATACTTCATTACATGCAATGCAATCTGTCATTTTTGTCTCAGTTCCCTAGAAATAATTTCCACCAAAATTCAGTGGGGCTTACTTTTAAGTAGACATGCATAGAGTTTTCTAAGATTAGATGAATGATTACTGTCTGTATCAAAGTTACAGCTTTGGTTTCATAACTAAAAGGGAGGCATTTCGCAAAATTATGGCTGATCTTTCTAACTAAAACCACAGTTTTAGGCTGAAAATAAGATTTATTTTAGTGATGTAGTAAATAATTTCTACAGAGTAAAACAAATTAGAGCATGTTCTATTGTTTACAAGATGAATGGCATAACAAATGGCTGGGAATTTTAATATCCTGCTTAATGTCAAGTTAGAAAATGAGATTCTTAACCTTTCACTTCATTCACAAAGATGGATGGCCATAGGGTATTAAAAATAAAATCATAAAGTTACAAAGGCTTTATTCAAAAGCTGGTAGTTCTGTCTGAAAAAGAATACATAAAAGACACTCTTCTATTAAATTAAATGAAGTAACCATGAATCAATTACCGAGAAATCTACTCGTTTTGTTATCAGGAAAAGTTATACATTCTACTAAGTAATATTGTTGAATAATGTTCAGTTATTTCAATTTATTAAATGCCAAGTTGCTTAGTCTCCTCGACTATTTTCATTGGATTAGATTCAAATATTTTTGTGTAGCAAGGGTCTCATGACCAATTAATATATCATATCCGAAAAATCTGAAGTTCTATACTGGCATAATCAATTGGGCAATTTTATTGGTGCTCATGAATCCTCTCATAAGTGAGACCTCTTCTCTATTGATGAGTGGGGGAGAAAAATATTTTAATTTCCACAATTCCCTGTATTAATTTATTTCTTGGCATCATCAGACTTAAAATGGTAGCTTTGACTCAGCTATCTAATAAGACAGAGACCATCAATTCTACTCCTCAATGCGCACAAAGCTTAAAGGTAGAACATCAGACCATCATCAGAAAGGAGACTCACAGGATGGTATTTGTGTCTCTTTAAAGTTGAGAGATATCGATTATAGTTTTGGCTGCTGGTGATGATAGGAAATATTACTTCAAATGGCTTTTTTTAAAACACTGTCACTACAATGTTGGAAGAAACTTCAGATAATTTGTAAAAAGCTCTCAAAGGTTATGTCTAAGTGTTGTTGATAAAAGAATGGTAACAAAAGGGAGAAAATTAATAGTTATCTCTATTTCTGATATTTTAAAAATGTGGGTCACAACCAGAGGAGGTCATTCTTCAAAACTTTTTTCTAAGATTACCTTAGTTCTCCAAAGTATTCTATGAAAGAGTAAAAGGAAATGAATGAGAATAGTACATTATGAGAGAAAAGGAAAAAAGAATTCCCAGAATCTTTCCAGAAATCTTACATTATTTATCCTATTTAAATGAAGTATTTGGTTCATGATGAGCCCTACAAGAATACACAGTCTTAATTATTTCTGGATATGAAATTGTCATTTACACTGTAGTATAGTCTCATAGATTTAAATTCTTGAATAAGTGAAGACTTATGATGTTAGTGCAGAGGAATCTTCTAAGAAAAACACCTTTTAATGAAATCTTTTCCCAAATATATAATTTAAGTAACCTAATAAATTGCTCAACAAATCAAGTCCCACCTACAAAAATATTTGATATTCATGGAGCTTGGTCTCTCTATTAATCTAGATGGACTAATTTAGGGAATAACTTCATTAAATGTTCTGTAATCTATATTCTAAAATACAATAGGAATTAAAATGCAATCTTTATAAGGTAATTTACCATTCCATATACAGGAGGGTAGTTTCATTGTTCGAATGTTGACTGTCCCTATGTCCAAAGGCAGCCTGATTTAACCTGATGATTCTTAGCACCCTCTGCCTTCAGACAGATCTTCCTGCTGCTAAGGGTAGTTGCCCTAGGGCTTCCGGGGAATGAGGGCCCAACAGAAATACATTACTTAATACATTAAGAGCCGCGGTGACACATTGGTTAGAGTGCAGTACTGCAGGCTACTTCTGCTGATCACCAGCTGCTAGCAGTTTGGCAGAATGAATCTCACCAGGCTCAAGGTTGTCTCAGTCCTCCATCCTTCTGAAGTCGGTAAAATGAAGACCCAGATTGTTGTGGGCAATATGCTGACCCTGTAAACTGCTTAGAGAGGGCTGTAAAAGCACTATGAAGCGGTATGTAAGTCTAAGTGCTATTGCTATTACTATTACATTGAAGAAATGTTAGTATAATTTGTTGCCTACAATTTGATCCAACTTATCATTTGTTTGCATGCTGAGAGCCCCAATGAATGTCAAAAATTTCTACCATGTATCAATCTGCTCATTGTATTTTAGATGTAATTTGCATGCAAATCCCTTGTATATATTGTATTTCCCATAAGAAATGTAATTCAATTATGAAGTCACAGAAACATCTTATATTGAATCAGTTGTATTCTATGCATTAGAGCTTAGTCCAAGGTTGATATTTTTGAGTTATCTTGATCTTTGTATAGTTCTGAGGACAGCAGATATAATGATAAGGACCACATACAAATATATTATGTAGCAAACCAGACAACTACTAGAACACTTATTCTATCCTTAAATCCTTAAATGTTGTTTCTATAAATATATTTTCTAAGAAAAGTTAAAAGACTCTGTGTACCCTAGAGTACATTTATTTAAATATTCACATAATTTTTTTTAAAAAAATCACAGCTAGTTCAAGAAAATATAAAATTAGAATACGTGTTTGGAAGCTAATAGAATGTCATTTAATATCCTCTGTTTAATTTTGAATCAAAAATTTTGTACCAAAATATCCCATAAAATTCATTTAAAATTATGTCCCTGTTGAAATTTGAAAATCATTCAAGAAAATGTGCCAGATCACTACTATGATCCAGTCAATAGATTTGCTTTGCTTGTCTTTGCTTGTCTTTGAATATTAACTGAAGTCTATTTAAAATCAAAATAAGTGCCATAGGGACTCATCTTCAAACAAACAAAAATTGAACCAACCCAAAAATATCAGTAACGAAAAGCCTTCAAACACTGGTAAAGTCTTTCTTTTAACACTGTCCTCCACTCAGAATGTATCAAGGCAACCACAACACAATGACAAGTATCTTTTATAAAGTGTCTGATCTAATTATAAAGTTAAATTACAGGATCCTTATGAAGAAAACACAATAATAACAATAAGCGTGGAAATGGCTACATTCCCAACCAAATCATCCCTATTAGCTTCTATTCATGGCTTGAATTATGCCTTTTTTAATCTCTCCATAACATTCAGTATTTACTTACCATTACATTTTTGAAGCATTGCAACTTCCTGCTGACATTAATTCAATTCCTCAAAATAGAACATTCCAGCCTTTTCTCTGTTAGACATGGAAGCCATTCAGATGTCTTCCTTGAACTTGGAAAGAGCAAGAAAGCTCAGAAGCTGAATGAGAGCTGGTTTTTGAAAAAGCGAAGATGCATTCTCTCACTCTAATAATTTAAAAGAAAAAGAAAAAGAAAGGCTGCCTACCTTGAAAACAAACATTTCATGGCGGAGAATGGCTAGAGTATTGAAATTTCCATCACAGATATTGGGTTTGACACCAGGGTAGGAGGGCTTATCCCCTGTGGGTGGCCGAGGAGCTTTAGCCCTATCATTCTTCCTAGGATCAGCTGGAGGGACAGAACGATGTGGAGGTACTGTCGGCAAGGGTCTTGTTGGTGGTGGGATTCTGTCAGGTGGACCTTTAAATGAGAAAGAAAACTCTCATAAGAGTGATATACATAAGTTGCATACTATTGGGTTTTATGAACCAAGATAATACTGATTTTATGAAATAGGATAAGAATGTGATGACATAATTTTTCATTAGCAAGTTAAATGATGAGAGAGCTCAACACTGAATTATTTTGGAGGATTGCAGAAAGCATTTTATTAAGAAATGGAAAAGATATATTATTGTCAAGGAATGGTTGTCAGAAATTTGTGACCCTATCTCTTTTGGATAAGAAAGGGTGCAGTAATATTGTTTTACAAGAGTGCAGTAATATTGTTACTGCAGAGATACTGTGATATCTTGCAATAATACAGTGTACTGTTCATATTATAGTACTGAATTTCATTGGTAAACTAGCAGCTGTTGATAAGTATAAAATACTGTATAAGAGATTTTTTTTCTTTTTCTTCATAGTTTGTATTTTACTTTTTGCATTTTACTTTTTGTTTCTTTTTTAAAGATAATTTCTTTGTTAAAAAAAATAAAGATAACAGAAAACAATTATTTTTAAATTATTTTGAATCCTCACAATTTTGGAGGTTAACTGTGTTCCTATTTTTTTTTTTGTATTTACTTACTAATTAGGAAGTAATTAAGAGGAATATATTAAGCATTAATCTGTGCTTACAATTTAAATAATTATATTGAACAGTTTATTAAAGTTGTAGCCATATAGCCTTTCCAAGGTTTCTTCCTTTTTCAAAAACAGCTGTCCACATTCCTTTCTTACAGAGAGATGTCTTAATGTACTGTGGATAAAAATATAGACCAGACCAGAAATACACATATTTGAATTAATTGTTATTTATAAGGCTAGATTATGGAAATTTAACTAATTATGTCTAGTTAAGTTTGCATAATTCCTCTCAGTTGAATTTCTGGTTACTGGGTGCCTGTTAAAATTTATTCTACTTTTCCCCCCCATTCAATCATGTCAAATTTTTGGGCACTGCCTGGACAAGTCCTTGCAGTTTACTTGGAGAGAGTTTTCAGAAGTGATTTGCCATTGTCTGTTTCTAGGGCTGAGAGAAAGTGACTGGCCCAAAGTCACCCAGTTGGATTTGTGGGAAAAGTGGGATTAGAACTCATAGTTTCCTCATTTCTAGCCTAATGTCTTAACCACTACAACAATCCACATTTTTTTTATTGATTATACCGTGTTTCCCCGAAAATAAGACCCTGTCTTATATTTTTTCGAACCCTGAAATAAGCGCTTGGCCTAATTGCCATGCACTCAAAAGCCCGATTGGGCTTATTATTAGGGGATGTCTTATTTTGGGGGAAACAGGGTAAATTGCTGAGCTATGGCTATTTTGTATCATCCTACTGAAAGAAACTAAATTATCCTTATGACTTCTATTATATTCAGTGACAAACAATATATCTGGAACAGAAATATAAAAAAATAGTACTATAGTAGAATTTAAACCATACAAAGAATGAAAGTGATGGACAAATCTATGTTCTTATAACATAGCTATAAGTTAATTTTTAAAAATGCCTTTTAAAAGTGCTTTAGTTCATTAGAATGGATTTCAGGTTGGCCTACAAATCAAAATATCAAATTGAAGAGCTAATAAGCTAGATGATGTGCATCTAAACAAGCAGTATCTTGCAACAATTTCATTATATTCAAGATAAACAAAACATTTTCTGTTTAATAGTAATATGTAGCTGTTCAGATCCAAAGTAGAAAAGGTGATTCATATCCAAATAGTTGCACATCTCTATTCTTTAGTCAATGAATTAAACATGAATGTTGTGTCACATTATTTTAAGATTATAATTATCGATGGTTTAAATGGTTTAGGGTGCTCTTTGCCAGATTAACTGCTAAAAATATACTTTGTGATAATGATAAGCTAGAGGTAGACTATCTGTAAATAACCAGGTAGTTTGGTAGGGTCAAACTTTAGTCTTTTCCTTGCTTCTGACGTAGCCTTCTTAGTGGCATTGGACTATCCATATAAAAAACAGAATTGTAGATGAATTGTTTCTTTGACAGATCTAACAAAGCTTTTTTCCTCTTTCTTAATATCACATGCAAATCAGAAATAAATAGTATGATTTCAAGTAAAGGCTGTGCTTCCTTAACACCTGATATTATAGATGTAGAGAATAGTTAATAATATTTGGTGGCACCTATAAGATTCACTGCATGTGTACAGGATATATGTATGCAGTCTTTTAAAGACATTAATTAAATTCGGTTTTGCATGATAAAATTGTTAAAAATGCAACATTTGTTCATTTGAGCAATGTTTAATATGAATATTAAGTGACAGTCAACTTTGGATTTTATCACTGACATGACATCAGAGGAATTGTGGCAGGCAATATTCAGTTTAAAAATTTGGAATTCAAAGGAAAATATGCACACGTACAATTTGTTTAGCAAAATCATGTCTAACTCCCAAGATCCACAAATCTTCAAGATTTAGCTTACAGCTGCTAGAAATTGGTATTTAGCATCAAGGAAAAATAGAAAAATTGTCTAGACTTTTTTGCCTAGATTATCAACTCATGAGTTTATGGGAAACATCTCCGATGAACAAACCCTACACAAGAGAAATAGAATCACCTCACTCTCTCTGCAGAAAAGCAGAATATGCTTTAATATGCAATATAAAATTTAGCTACTTGTACATTACTGCTGCTATAATTTCATCAGTCACAATTTCATCAGTCTTATTAACAGATGTAGCAATTACAAATAAATTTATCCAACTGTAAGAAAATTCACTTCCCTGCTCTAAGCACTTTCCAGTCTAAACATATCCAAAGATCCCAGACCAATCAAACAGAAAATAAATCAAAGGAACAAGAAGCAGTAGGAATCAAGGGACTCTGTTGTTTCAATAAAGATAAGTAAACAAACTTAAAGTAGGGAAAAATAAACAGTAAAAACGGGCAACGGGCAAATAAAAAGGAATAGAAATTGTCTTAGATTGATCTGGATGCTTGAACTACATTCCCAAAGGTATTTTTTTTACCAAAAGGCAACTGGACTTTCTTAGTTGTTTTTCTTTGAAAATGTTTAACTTCTAATATTTTCAAAGAAAAAAGGCAAGAATGTGTTTTTTGGGGAAAAGTATCTTTGGGACACTCATGACCTGGATGATTGAGAATCTCCACGGACACTTGAACTAAAATGCTCCCTTTGCTGTAAACTGTTTAAACTTAAATTGTTTAAAACATTCTTGGTGAAATATTCAAGATGTTTAGAATTCTTTGGGCAAACTCCAAAAGGTAAGGGGGTTTTATCAAATACACTGATCCCAAAAATATGATTTCTATAGCTAGACCTTTTCAAAGATTTAGAGACATTTTTCATATTTTATAGCCAACAGGCTACTGTAAAATATGGAATAGATGTTTGTAAAGAAAAAAGACTTAATGGACCTCAATTGTCCTTATACTCTTGTTCAATGGCAATGGCTTAGAACAAATTACTGCTTTTCAATAAAATTGCTGGCATTTCCACCATTAAACAAGATACGAGTCAGTTTATCTAGTGAAGGAATAGAAACAATGCAAACATATTTTAGTAAATCAATGTTTAGAATCAGATACAGTAGTGGCCAAAATTGTGGAAACCTTTTGGGAAAAGTTTATTTTTGAGATAATAACACTACTTTTTCTGAAGTTTCAAGATAATCATATTCCACTGCTGGAATGGCCTGGGATTAGCCCAGACCTTAACCCAATTGAAAATCTATGGAGCTGACTAAAGAAACTTGTTAGTTAGAAGCAATCCAGCAATAAAACCCAGTTAATAGAAGCAATCATACGATCTTGGTTTCACATTATAACAGCTGCAGAACTAAAAGACTTGGTTCACTCCATGGGAAGATGTTGTAAGGCCGTAATTCATGATAAAGGATACCCAACTCAGTATTAACTGACATGATAATTTTAGTATATCTCATTTTTTTCTATGGTGATAATTTTTGTATATCTTGTTTTTTTACATGTTTCACTTTTCTTCTTTATACTGTAACTGCTATTCTAATAGCAAATCTTTCATAAACGTTAGTGCATTATATTCTTGATTAAATTATCTTTCCATTGATAATATAATTTTATGGTACTACTACTAAAAAAAAAAAGTGGTGTTATTAGCTAGCTTTAGAAAAAACACTTTTCCCAAAAGGTTTCCACAATTTTGGCCACTACTGTATAACATGAAAAGAAACATTGAAATGGAAATCCTGGAGGGAATGAGGAAAGTTCAGTAGCATTGATATTGAACCAATAAAAGGAGAAATTCTGTCTCCTGTATTCCTAATATGAATGGATTAAAGAGATGCAAAACAAATGGGAGGATGGTGCCAGAGGAAGCAGTAACAACAACAGCAAAACACATATTTAATTCACACAACACAAAAAGGAAAGATTTTTGGAGAAACAGATATAAATAATAAGCTCATGAAAAACACAGAATCATAAGATTTGGAAGGGATATTGAACATCTAGGCTAGTGTTTCTCAACCTTGGCAACTTTAAGCTGTGTGGATTTCAATTCCTAGAGTTCCTCAGCCAGCAATGAAAGAGAAATATTCTAAGCACAAATTCTCATAACATTCCAAATAGATGACTGTCCAACTTGAAAGCCCCTTAGAATGGAGCACCCACAACTCAAAGAGGCAAGTTGTTCCTCTCTTTAATAGCTGCACTGGTAATGAAATTCTTCCTTATTTCAAGTTTGGATTGTTTAAAGCAATTGACATTCACTTCAACAGAGTAGTCTATTCTGTGGAGGCCTTGTGATGTACTTTGCAGAAGTGAAGAGATGATTCAATTTAATTCTTTAACAAAGCAACGGAGTGGTCTTAGACCATCTGAGGACAGAGTTGTAGGAAAAGGCCTCATCACTACCTTCTCCAATGCTGGATGAAGTGCTTCAAAGCTGGACAGTTTGCAGTGTATGTTAAAGCTGCCTTGTTGGGAACATCAATCACTGACCAGTTTGGTGACGTTTTCAGGCTTTCAAAGTTTGGCACCTGCTGCAGGGTTGTCTCTAGCACTTGCCAAAAATATCAAGTTTAGAAGACCTAAGGCATAATGCTAAGGGGCCTCCAAGTGGACCATTTTCCGTGAGTCACTGTGGGCAGTTCCACATCATTTGCCAAAGCTGACCAGCTTGGAAACCCTCTTGCTAGTGCTGCAGGAGAAGGATTCCCACAGCCTTCTTTTACAGGATTTGCTCTGCTGTAACAGAACAAACGACAATCTGAGGCACAGGAGTAGGGCTATGTCATTTCATCCTTTGAATTAGATGGAATCGGCTTTATTGAAATGAAGAAGCCACTGAAGCTTAATAAACAAGCATTTATTTTTTTTTGCATTTTCACTGTATCTTCCACTAGAACTTCAAGCCGCAGTAGGTGGCAAGTCTTCACTGATCTTGATTGGCCCCCAAGGAAGTGACACAGGATTTGATCTAGTTAATTACTTGAATGGAAAAGTATCACAAAAATCCCAGGACTAAACTAGATTAAATTAAACCAAAGTAATGGCAACTACTTTCTGGACAATGAACACTGCAGGAATAGGTTGAGAGAATCATAAGAACACAAGGAGCTTTAAGCATGTCAATCTGCAGTGTGATTGATAGCTTTCCAAGAAACTGACCAGCTGAAATAATCCTTTTTCACACTATGCATTTTTCTTTTTAAAAAACAGCATACCGTATATCTTTTGAATTCCCTGCAAATCATCATTAGGTAGTTTGAAATTGTCAGTTTCCATGTATTGGTAAAATGGAGCCATAATAGCAGTCGGATCATTTGAATGCTCCAATCCAAGGGCATGTCCCAGTTCGTGAACTGCTACTAGAAACAAATCATTTCCTGGGGGAACAGAAAAAAAATACTGTATGTAATATTTATATCTCCACTTATTTAAGCAATTTACATAAAAACATTATTTAAGTAGATTTCAAGCTGGGTTTTCCAAAATTTCAGGATTGGCCTCTATATACATCTTACTCTGCGAGGCTCCAGGATGTGTTGAAGTTTCCTAAACAGAAGAGAATTCTAAACGTGTCCTTTTTAACATTTCATGGCTGTGAAAGAAAAGAAAAGAAAAGCACTGGGAGCTCAGGTATAAAAAAAAAACTAAAATAACACTGATTCCAAAAAAGTGACTTCTGTATAGCTATTCAGAATTTTTCAGATTTAGTGAGATTTTTTCTTATTTTGCAACAAATAGGCTAGAGAAGTATAAATGTATTTCTAAAGCAGAGAAGTAAACAAAGAGCAGATATAATGAACTTCAATTGTCCTCATGCTCTTGTTCAAACAGTAACAGTTCTATAAATATTAATTTAATATATAAAAAATTTACTAGGCCAATATGTGTACCCCTTATACCTAGAATAGTAAATTGTTATATATCTCACTACTGCCTCATATGTTCCTTTGATCTACATTTATGCAGTTCTCATTTTGATTGCAGATTTAGAAATATTCGAACCCTTGATCTCAAACACAGTATTTCTGCTGAATAATTCCAAGTTTCCTGGACCTTTCCAGGCAAAAGCAATCCATTTTCATCAGTGTCCATGCCAGATGAGCATTAGTTCTCATTCAGCCAGAGAAAAGCAACAGGATAGCAGACTTGACCACTGCCAAATAAGGGACAGATGGAAACCAGCCCTCCTGACCAAAGAGATCTGGCCAGTATATTTCATAGGGTAGGCAATAAACGGTCACAAAATGGTTGAATAGGATTTGCTCTTGTAACACAGCTGCTGGTAGACTTTTCATTATGCCTTCCTATTTTTCTCAAATTAACAACAACAAAATAATTATTGGAAATTATTGGATTCTTGTGAAATGCAAGAAGGTTGAGAAGATTCTTCCTTGGTAAAAACACCATGGGAAAAAAATGAATCTTCTTTTACAGCACTATTGGCCAAGGAGATTCTAGTGCTAGATGATTCCAATGTGGATTCCAGAATTCCAAAACAGAAGAGAATTTCATCTTTCCACTGTATAAGTTTAACAATCAAAACAATATATAAACAAAACTTTCAAAGAATCTGATAACTGTGCACTATTGTTATTGCCAGTCCTACTTTCTTCTAAGGCAGTGTTTCTCAACCTTGGTCACCTGAAGATGCGTGGACTTCAACACCCAGAATTCCCCAGCCAGCAGAGCAGAGCTGGCTGGGGAATTCTGGGAGTTGAAGTCTACGCATCTTCAGGTGGCCAAGGCTGAGAAACACTGCTCTAAGGAGATATTCACATATTCACAACAACTTGTGTCACGAAAGTTGATTTTAATCCACTTTATGTTGATTTCTATTAGAACTTTAGATGATTACAGCTTTCAAGAAAATATCATAAGCTAGTATTCCATGTATTTTAATAGGACAAAAATAGACAGCACCACTAAACCTATTCTCAACACTATATAAGACAGTCAGTTTGATATAGTGGTATAGTGGTTAAAGGCACTAAACTAAAAAAAAAAAAAGAGGAAAAAGCAGACTGTGAGTTTTAGCCTTACTTTACAGATAAAGCCAGTTGGCTAATTTTGGCTATATATTCCCTCTCAGTTGTAGGAAGAAGGCAATAGCAAACGACTTCCAAAAATTTCACTAAGGAAACTATCCAGGGATTTATCCAGGCAGTCAGCAGGAGTCAATCATTGACTGAAGTCAATATTTCAAATTGATATTTCAAACATTTACCTTATCTTCAGAGATTTTTTTCTCATAAGATAAAATAAAAATCAATTTAATTTACTTGGAGATTGTGCCAGCATTTTTGATACTTTGCCTGAGTTTGGGCATCTTCATAAGTCAAACAAACTGAAGATGATAAAGTATATTTATACATAGTTCATTCCTGATGTTTTAATTAGTAAATTAAAAATAATAGTAGCTTTTCAATTCTACAGATTAACTCTTGCCTGTGCAAGGTGTTTTCGGAAGAGGACTATTTCCCAGATGTTACATACAAAGATCTGTTTGAAGTATTCTTTTCTCTCAAGTGATCAGCTACTGCCATACTTTTTGTTAAAAGTAGTAAAACTAATTATTAAGATCCACAATTATTTTGATATTTGGATTTCCCCCACATACTTCCCATTTACTAGTTCATTCATTTCCATGGACAAAAAAACAAAGCAGAAAAACACTATATTGACAGGATGCAATGAGAAGAAATGGGGAACAGATTTCACATTCTGTTGAGGTATCCAGAGCCTTAAAATCCTGGCCACCATTGGGGGAAAAGCCAGCTCTTCAAAGCTTTCTGAAAGCTATTTGAGTTGGGTCCATCTAGATCTCAGGGATGGTGTTCCAAAAGACATAAAAGACTGAATTTCTAGAATTCCTAAAAATGGCCTTGATGGTTGGGTATTTTAGGGACTGAACCCAAATATTTGGAAAAGGCACAGATTGGAGAGCAACGATCTACTAAATTCCAAGGTTTAATCTGCTTGGTTGATCCCTTCCAAAGTCACCAGCTTACTTGCATCACTGCCATATCAGATGCCAATGCCGTACAATTTGTGCTTTAAAGCATCTCTGACTTGAAGTTCTTTGCTTTCTTACTATAAATGCCACACTTGATTTATTCACTGTTGAGACATTTGCTTCCCAGGAAATTAATGTCTGACTTCAAGATTATTTGGGTTCAGTGCATCAAATAAACTGGAAGCCATATGAAATTTACTAGAAGGTGATCTCTGCAATTCAACAATAGTTGAGGATTCCCTGCCCCCGAGCCCCTTGGTTGCTGACATGCTCATTTGGATGAGAAAAATGACGAAGCCCAACCTGCATTTATTCAAACATTTTTAACATAATCACTGCCTTCCTATCACACTTGAAAACCACTAAAGCTGACTCAATATTAAATAATCTTTCTGTAAATGATCACAAGGAGGAAGGCTGGGGGAAAAAAGACCTCCAAAAAGCTGCTGGATAGACAAGTATTTGCACATTTATTCACAAAATGCAAATGTTCTAATGCAACACAGAAGATAAAAGGAACTCTAGCCCTTAACACCAACAAAATGATAGGTTTTAAACATATAAAAATACACATTAGTCACTACCTGGCAATAAAAAAAGCAATTCTGCCATGAAAATCAGGTTAAGTAACTTTGATAATATCTGCTTCTGCCATAAACATGAGCTGCATATTAAAAACAACCAGACATATTTTAGATTATTCAGGTTAGTTCAGAAGAACTTGTCTGTTTAAAGAACCATTTCTTTCAGCTACAGATATGAAATACCAGAAGAAAGAGCATATTTCCTTTTATGTCCTAAATTTTATAAGCCGTATTGATATTGCCTTTTCCAGGCATATTTAGGCTTTGCCTTTTGTAAAATGGCCTGATCTGTAATTTCCTAGTTATCTTCACCATCTCTACTGTTGATCCATTTAATCTAATTTAATCCTTCATTAAACCAGATTATCCAGATTTTGTGATTTGCACAGCGAAAAGTGTTTGTAGAGATAAAGTACATCTTTGTAAAGAGTCTAGAAGCAATTTGTTGTTGTTAGTTGCAAAGTCGTGTCCGACCCATCGCAATCCCAGGACAACGTTCCTCCAGGCCTTCCTGTCCTCTACCATCCCCCCGAGTCCATTTAAGCTCACACCTACTGCTTCAGTGATTCCATCCAGTCACCACATTCTCTGCCGTCCCTTTCTTCTTTTGTACTCAATCGTTCCCAGCATTAGGCTCTTCTCCAGTGAGTCTTTCCTTCTCATTAGGTGGCCAAAGTATTTGAGTTTCATCTTCAGGATCTGAAGCAGTCAGGGTTGATCTCTTCTAGGACTGACTGGTTTGATCACCTTTAGTCAAAGGGACTCGCAGGAGTCTTCTCCAGCATCATAGCTTAAAGCCTCAATTATTTGGTGCTCAGCCTTTCTTATGGTCCAATTTTCACAGCCATACATTGCAACTGGGAAAACCATAGCCTTGACTATACAACATAATAAAACAGTTACCATGTCTAAAACAAATACACTCCTGGGATCTGGCTGAAAGAGCTAAGCTGAATCCTATAGATGGAAAGTGCCATTTAAGACATCAAATTCAATTACCAACTTATTGTGGGAACCCAAATTAAAGAATGGCAGATAGGTGGTTGCCAATCTTCCACTTGAATATATACAACCGCCCATCACTCTGGGTAATTGGTTGCACTGTTAAACTATTCTTTCAGTTAGGTTTTCTTTTCTCCATACATTCAATCAGAAATTGTCTTTGTATTGTATTTACCGGTTCTCCAAACTACTCAAACTTTCCTCTACCGGTTCTCCAGAACTGGTGAGAACCTGCTGAATACCACCTCTGAACCATATGTTAAACCATGTAATAATTACATTTTGATGGACTGGTTTTGAATATAGTTTTATTTTTATAGAAAATATCAATGCATTTTTCTATTACTGTTCTGTAATTTACAGTGTTAATATTTTCATTTAAAATATTATGAAGGTTATACTATATGTTATATTTTAGGTTTCTTTTTTTATCTGATGTTTCAGATACAAAACAAAGAGTATTAACTGAAGATTTTTTTTTCTCATTTAGAAATTTTATCTCTTCATTTGTAAACATGTTAAAATAAAACAATATGCAGGCAGCCACTTATAAAACACCAATACATGAAAAATATTGTTAACACTTGCTTTACATTTGAAAATATTCATATACCAAGGTCAAAAATAAACATTAAAAATAGTGAATTGAAAAAAATTCTCCAAAGAAAAACGTGGAACAAAAAAACCTGAAATCACAAATTGCAAACAATGCATACAAGGAGTGAAAGAACAATCAGTATTAGAGCTTAAGATAATTAGACAATAAATAACTCTGGTT